AGATTAGAACCGCCGAACTGCAGATAACAGTCAGCTGAAGTGGCCTTCAGTACTGCACCCTAACCACTGCGCCACCTCGGAGTGGCAACCACACGTCTCACAGATTCACAGAAATTACTTTAGGAAAGCATTATGAATAGTCCAAGGAACCTTTTGGCTGCAACGGTTCACTGAGACATTTCTCAATCTTTAAAGATGCCACAAAATCCTCTAGGAGGGAATAGGACTCGAAATTAAAACCAAGTGGGATGGAGCACCTGCAGGGAGGGAGGGAGGGTGGGAGGGAGGGGAGAAGGGTCTCCGGTCCAACTTCAGGGCTGCCATCCTGTTACGGAGAAGCCCCAGCCGAGCACCCGGGTCCCTGGGCAGCTGGTTCAAAGGCCCACATTTCTATTCCTCCACCCGCAAACCCCAGGAGGCCCGGAGCGTGGAAGAAGCCCAGGGCCCACCACCTGCACACTTACACCCATGGTAGGAAGCCGGGGAGCCTCCGGATTTGCCGTACTCCTGCTCGGAGTAGCTGGTGGAGAGATTGGGCTGGCTGGAGCCTCTGCCGAAGGAGATCTGGTTGCTGCCCACTCCGGTGGCCACCTGAGCCATGCGTTCTTTGGTCTTTAAGGCCTGGGCCCTCTCCGCCTTGAGCCTCTCGTCGTCCTTCAGGAGGGAGACCAGCTGCTTGGACTTCTCGCGCACGTTGATGCCCTGGTCCTTCCCGTCCCGGTCGATGTACTGGAAATCTTTCAAGGTCTGGATGGCGAAGATGTTCTCCTTGCACTGCTGGGCCACGCGCTCCGACCCGGTCTTGATCAGGTAATCCAGGAGGGTCAAGGCCTTGTAAACGTGCCTCCAGTTCTTGCCGTGGTCGTTCAGCCGCTTCCAGATCATGCTCATGATTTCGGAGAAGGCCACCACGTTATAGGTCAGGTCCGCTATTTCGGTCATGAGGGAGCTGGAGGGACCCCAGGGGTCATTGGAGGTGGCTTCCCGGACTTTGATCTCGGCCTCCGAATAATTGTTCACAATGTTCTTCACTTGCCGCCTGATCGACGAGGTTGTCATTTTTATCTCCGTCAAGGCAGATTCCTCCCGAAAGTCCTCAGGGATGGGCCGCCGCAGCGTCTCCCCCTCCGGGGGTCCCTCGGGCAGGAAGGCAGAGCAAGGACACCCGACTGGGAGCAGCCACGTCCGATAAAGTCATTTCCTCTCCGCCTCAGAGGTACGAAAGGGACTGGGGAGCTGGACCTAAAAAGGAGGGGAAATCCCATTAGTCACCGTGGCAATGGCTGTATTGTATTGTATTGTATTGTATTATTTGTATGCCGCCCTTCTCCGGGAGGACTCANTGTTTTTCCCCTCCCTTTGAGTTGTGAGCCGCCCTGAGTCCCTTTCAGGGAAAAGGGCGGCATACAAATAAATTAAAATGAAATGAAATGAAAATCTTTGCCATCCTAGAGATTCTTTTATCCTGAGGTAGAAGCTAACAGAGATTTCTACCATGACTTTAAGGGCAAGTGCATCAATGCACTTACAATGAAGGACAATGACGTAGCCATGATTCGTTTGCTAGGAGAAAGTCTAAAATGGCAGAGTACTGATTTTAAAGCCCCAAGCCTTAAGCATCCCATGAGTTCATAAGCCATTTTATAAGAACCTTGGCACTTAAAAAAAAAAATGTTTCTAGGCTTCATAGCTGCAGAGAGAGAGAGAGTGGAAACTGCATAGGGAATATGTGATGAAATTTCAGATACCAGAAATGATCAGGCTGTGCATCATCTGAAGCATAAAGTTTCAGTGTCTTTGCAAAAGTAGATGAAATGGAGCAAAATATGCATAGTTATATTTCTCTTAATTAGAGGATGATGACCAGCAGATGATTCTAGGGATAATGTTTGAAATACAATGAAAATGGTCTCTGTTGTGTTATTTCCATGAAGATTTGCATGCACAAACAATCCCTCACTTGATTTTGCAATCCACAAATGAGGGACATGCATGTATACAAACCCAAAGTTTAATATGAATTTCATGCTTAGGCAGCTGGGAGGAGAGTGTCAGACATTTCCATGACCACAAATAATTTGAAAGGGTGGGGAGAGAGGCCACATTTCTGCAAACTGATCTATTTTCTACTGTAGATGTGAGATTCCATCGTTAACTCTACAGTTAATTCTTACTGAATTAAATTAACCCCTTTGCAGCTGAAACTGATGGATTCTTCCCCTCCCCACCCCCTTGTCATTTTGGTTTTAGTTTATAGTAGATAAAAAATACTTGCATTGCAGAACAGCAAAAAAAACTAAACCTTGAATTACAGATCATTATGCCTTGTTTTCCTTGGCATGGAAAGTTAGTTTCGAGTAACTCATTATATGCTAATATTTTTGTGATTAAGACACTACATTTCATCATTTTCTGAGTTCCCTGGAACTGTGAGTCATAAAAGATTCATTCTAAAGGAGTAAAATTAACCTTTCACAATTTTAATAATTTCTAGTCCTTGTGGTGGCAAAATAATACACCTCCTTGATGGTTAAAAAAAAAAAACAAGTTTCAGTTTTATTGAGTTTGTATGCCGCCCTATTCCCGAGAGACTCGGGGCGGCTCACAATAAAAAAGGGAGGGGGATACAAAAACATAAAATAAAAAACAACAATTTAAAATTCTACAACAGCCGTAACCTCGAATGGGGCTGGATAGTTCAACAGTCCCAGGCCTGCCGGAACAGCCAGGTCTTAACCGCTTTGCGCAGTGTTTCTCAACCTTGTCAACTTGAAGATGTCTGGACTTCAACTCCCAGAATTCCCCAGCCAGCATTCGCTGGCTGGGGAATTCTGGGAGT